GCTTTCTGACAAGATGCGCGTTAAATATCGCATGCGATTTATCGTGCAGCCCTACCTTTAACCATAGCAAGTTTGGAGTCTAACTCAAATTCTCTAGCGCCACCACTTGTCCAAAATTTCACTCATGTTTATGCTAATAACTTTTGAACTGTAAGGCACAAAAGGAAAATTCTATTTTTCCTCTGATTCCTTGGCTCATGCCGAGTCGAATGAACTCCAAAATGTAAAAATCGTAAGGTTTAGTTTTTTCGCTATTTTCAATTGTTCGAAAAACATACTTTTTCTAACTCGTCCGATTTTCACCAAAATTGGCTCAGATCATCTTCAGACCATGCTGGCAAACAGTTATAGAATTCAAGTTGATTCATCAAACCGTTCTTGAAAAACACGCAAATGAATTCGACGAAAAGCATGCAAAAATGGATGTGAGGCTATATCTCCGCAATGGTTTGGCGTATTTATTTTGGCGTGTGTTATAACAAGCATGACTTGAGACTACCTGCAGTGTTTCGGTGCAGTGCCACGTAGTGGTCGGGAGATATGAAATGGCTATTATTGCTTATAACTTCTGAATGGTTTGACCAAAAATCACAAAACTGGTCTCTTTAGATTCGGTGGAGCATGCCGAATTTGACCATGTCAGCCATTTTGGCCATTGGCCATTTTGAATTTTGCTATATTTTACGATATAAATGCTATATTTTACGAACGCATTGACGTATCATTACGAAACTTGGTATGCTTCTTCGGCACCATGCCCTGATGGTACTCAAAAAGTTAGGGGGCAGCGCCATCTTGTGGTCAAAAGTTATAATGAAATTTCCAAAAAAGCTAATAACTTTTGCTTACATTAGCCTATTGTAATGAGACTGATGTTGATAGATTCCTTGTATCATGCCGAGAACATCGATACCAGTTATGACATAACTGGCCGAACTTCCTGTCCGCCATTTTGATTCATGTTGAAAACCTTATTTTTCGAACTCCTCCTAGACCGTTTGTCCGATTTTCACCAAATTTGACTCGGATCATCTTCAGACCAAACTGGCAAAAAGTTATGGATTTCGTGTCAATATACAAAACGGTTTTCGTTTAGCGCATCAACAAATTAGCTGGAAATTGCCAAACTGCATCTGAGGCTGTATCTCTGCATAGCTTTGACATAATGACACCAAACTTTGTGTGTGCCATTGTCACCTCACACAGAACACACCAAATTGATTTGATTACAGCGCCACCTGTTGGTCAGAAGTGATAAGCCATTAAATCATATTACTAGAGGTTTTATTCATGTTTTTCAGCCATTTCAATTACAATCATCCTAAAATTGCTTTTATTACTTATGGTTGCATTTGGTCTGATGCTCCATGCCATACTTAGCTCCTCATTTTGCCTCTGGAGTGCTTGGCCCCTTAATTGCTGCTTGCAGCTATATTTTATATTTGCTTTTCAACAGGAATTCATGTAATTGGGCGAAAAATTTCCCCGCGCAGATTTCACAACAGGTTCACAAGTTGGTCACGTAAAATAGACCTATATTGCTTGTGAAATTTCAGTAATGTAGCCGCACCTTAATGATGGCTGATAATATTTCCATTTCTAATGGGAAAAAAATCCCTTCATCCATCCTAAACTACAAGAACAACTCACTACTTGATTTGAGCAGGGTTTACACCAAATAATAA